TGCTCCTCTAAAGACACTGTGAGTGTCTATGTGTGCAGTGGTGTGGGGAGCATCTTGGACTAGACTAAGTTACTGGAATTAAGACTTATTCTATGCATCTGCTCTCCCACAATATGGCGCTGAGAAGGGAGTAGCAACTTCTACGCAGCTGCCTCTCGCCAACTTGAGTGATGACCTGCAGGAGCTGATCCTGCTCCTGATTGGAGGAGAGCAGCGTACTCGGCGTGTGGGTAGCAGAGTTGGGATTGGTGGAAGAGGACTATAAAGGAGGAGAGAGACAACATGCACCAGGAACATCTAAGGGGAACATCCGGATAACATCCCAGCAGCCCCCGAGAGAGCCGGTCGGCGGTGTGCCGCTCCCCCGCAGAAGTGGGGAAAGTGGCCAGGGGGAACCGCCCTTCCACGGAGGTGGAAGGGACGGTAGCCAACCCGGGAAGAACCAGCAGCAAACCCGGGAAGGGCCGAGCAGACAAAAGAACAGCGCAGGGTCCTGTGTCGTTCCTCCGTGAAGAGGGGGAGCGACACAGTGGGATATTACTCAGCACTGAATGGAAACAAACTACAAATGCACACTGTGACACTGTGACATGGCTGTCCCTCAGAAGTGTGCTCAGTGCAAGAAGCCAGACACACACAACTGTACACTCACACTGTATTACACTTGCGTTAAATACCCATCAAAGGCAAAGCCAGACACACACAACTGTACACTCGCACTGTATTACACTTGCATTAAATACCCATCAAAGGCAAAGCCAGACCAACAGAAAACGGACTAGTAGTTGCCTAAGGCAAAGGTGAGAAGAAACAGGGATTAACAGTAGCAGCCTGCAGGATCAGATTGGGGTGATAAAAATGTTCTAATACCAATTGTAATGGTTGTACAACTTGGTAGAATTCTGAAAAAGTCATTGAATTGTATATGCGAAACAGTTGAATTATATGATACACAACAATGCCTTAAAGTTATTTTTTCTAAAAAAAACACATCGCATAATAAAATGTAAATACAAGTCATAGACAGAGAGAAAATATTTGTAAAGTGTATATCTAATGAAGGACTTAAATTCAGAATATATAAAGAATTCTCATAATTCAGTAATAAGCAGAAGTAACTTAGTATTTGAAATAGGCAAAAGATTTGAAAAAAAAAAAACTCCATCAAAGGACATATGAAGATGGGAAACATGCACATAAAAAGATGTAATTTAGTCATTAAGAAAATAACATTAAAATGTTATTTAGACACTAAGATCACAATGTCTTAGAAGTTAGCAACAACGTCAGAGTAGGGGCCTACACAAATCCTCTCCTCCATAGCAGCAGCCTAAGAACCAACAAAAATGATCAGAATCAAAATTTTCAGAATTCAGAATTAGCTGAAGGCTTACAGCAGGCAAGGAACTGCTACTCAAGAAAAGTGGCCAAGTTTCCCTAAGAAGAGTGAGCCTGGGACACTCGTCCTTGCCCTGTTCCATCCTGCCCTCGCCACACCTGTGATAGCCCTCAAATACCAGGAGCCCACAGTGACTGCCTGGCAGCTTTTGAAGGGAGTTCTGCAGACTTGGCATTGCATCAAAGCGTTGTTACTGGAGGAGGGTCATTGTCAGACCTGCCGGGTGGCTTCTTGGAAGACACTTACCAGCAAGGCTGTCTTTATTGGACCAGACTTGGTGGGGAAAAAAAAAGCCTTTTCCCTGGAGATGTTTGTCTAAGCACAGTTGCAGACTTTAACATCTCACTTTCAGTAATGGATGGAACAACTTGGAGGAAGATCAAGAAGGAAGTAGAACACTTGAACAGCTTCGTCAGTCAACGGGCGCTGATACACATCTTGTCGTGTGCACAAAGAGCATGTTCTAGGGTGGATGGAATGTTAGAGGTGCTTGGGACGACATAAAAGTGATGAAGGGGAGAAAGACTGTCCACCAAGTGAGACGGCACTCCAGAATAAGAGAAATTAAGACACCCTCAAATAAACGAAGCTCAGACTGAAGGGAGAATAATATGTAAGGGAGTAACTTGAATCCACAAGGAAAAATGTGGAAAACAAGTAAAGGTAACCTGTGTAAAATATCAGAAAACAATGTAACTGCATTTTTTGCTTTTAACATTTTTCTCCTGATTTAAAAGACATTTGCATAAAATAATAATCATAAATCTGTGTCATGGGTTTACATTTCATAAAGATATAATTTGTATGACAATACTAGTACCAAGGAAGCAGGAAATGCTGGAGGTTTTGTATCCTATTGAAATCAATTTGGGATTAACCTGAACGAGGATGTTACAGTTTAAGATGCTAATTGTAATTTCCTGTTTTAAGTTCTAAAAAATAACTAAAAGAGTAAAAAAAAAATGAGTAAGGAATTAAAGTTTACACACAAACACAGCAACAGAGTTTTGATATGCATGGGACAAGAACTAACAGAACTGAGAAACAGACAGCAGTAGTACTCGCAGACTCAGTACCCCGCTGTCAATAATAGATAGGACAGCTCGGCAGAAGATCAAGAAGGAAGCAGAAGACTTGAGCAGTGCTGTGAGTCGCCCAGCGCTGACAGACCTCTGTGGAGCGACCCAGCCAACAGCATCAGAGTGTTTGTCCCAGGTGCAGAGAGCACTGTGTCGGAGAGATCGCTTGTTAGTCTTCATAAACGTAAAAGGGTTGAAATCACACAAAGTATGTTTTCCAACCACAATAAAATGATATTTGACATCAATAACAAGAAAACTGAAAAATTAACAAATACATAGAAATTAAATAACATTTTAAAAATTTACGTGTTAGAGTGAGAGAGCGAGAGAGAGCTATCCCGTCTGCTGGTTCACTCCCCAGATGCTCACCATGGCTGGATCTGGGCTGGGCCAGAACTGAAGTCAGGAACCATGTACTCAATTTAGATCTCCCACGTGGGTGACAGGAAGCCAATCAGTTGAACCAGCCCTGGGTCTGCATGGCGGAAGTGGGAGTCAGGAGCTGGAGGCAGCAATGGGATGCGTCTCTCCAGTATGGGATGCAGGCCAGACGCCCACCTCCGAGACATACTTAAATATGCAGTCAGAGGCTAAATCATAAGGACAATTAGAAAATATTCAGACCAATGAAAAAGAAGATCCTATGCTCGAAATATGGAATGCAGCAATTTCAATACTTAGAGGGAAATTCATAGTTGCAAATACCTAAATTTAACAAGAAGAAAGAAATCAATCATCTCACCTTCTATCTCAAGAAATTAGAATAAAATCAAACTAAACTTAAAGCAAGCCAAAGCTAGGAAATATCAGAAAAGAATGGGAAATCAGCCAGAACTAATACATGCCCAGTAGAACTGCTTGAGGCTGGAGTACCAAGGGTTCACAGGATAATGGAAAACTGGAGCCCTGTAGGGAGGATTCAAGATGGTACAGCCACTTTTTTATTTTATAGATTTCTTTATTTATTGAAAAGGCAGAGTTAGAGAGGGAGAGTTAGAGAGATCTTCCATCTGCTGGTTCACTCCCCAGGCAGCCCCAATGGCTGGAGCTAGGCCAGACAGAAGCCAGGAGCCAGGAGCTTCTTCCAGGTCTCCCACATGGGTGCGAGGTCCCAAGTGCTTGAACCATCTGCTGCTTTCCCAGGTGCGTTAGCAGGGAGCTGGATTGGTAGTAGAGCAGCCAGGACAGGCACCTATTATATGGGATGGCGGTACTGCAGGCAGAACTTGATCCGGTGCACCACAGCCCTGGCCCTGGTACAGCCACTTGGAAAAGCAGTTTGTTTTAAAGTTAAATGTACACTTGCCTTCCCACCCATTCATCCAGTTCCTAAGTATTTACTCAAGAGTCCTACCATTTTTTCATGTGTTAAAATTTGAAATTACATACTAATTTGAGTAGCCCAGTAAACTTTTCTTTCCTTTTTTTTTTTCTCTGGACAGCAGATGGACAGTGAGAGAGAGAGACAGAGAGAGTCTTCCTTTGCCGTTGTTCACCCTCAATGGCGCGCGGCCGGGGGGCTGCGGCGGGCGCACCGCGCTGATCCGATGGCAGGAGCCAGGAGCCAGGTGCTTCCCCTGGTCTCCCATGGGGTGCAGGGCCCAAGCACCTGGGCCATCCTCCACTGCACTCCCTGGCCGCAGCAGAGGGCTAGCCTGGAAGAGGGGCAACCGGGACAGAATCTGGCGCCCCGACCGGGACTAGAACCCGGTGTGCCGGCGCCGCTAGGCGGAGGATTAGCCTAGTGAGCCGTGGCGCCGGCCCTAGTAAAATTTTTTCTAATAACAATTTAATCCCTAGCAGTTTTTTAAAAATATTTATTTATTTATTTGAAAGTCAGAGTTGCACAGAGAGAGAAGAAGCGGTGGCGTTTAGGGGGAGGGGGAGAGTTTCATTCCACTGGTTCACTCCCCAACTGGCTGTAATGGCTGGAGCTGCATCAGTCCGAAGCCAGGAGTCCGGAGCTTCTTCCAGGTCTCCCACGTGAGTGTAGGGGCCCAAACACTTGGGCCATCTTCCACTGCTTTCCCAGGCCATAGCAGAGAGCTGAATGGGAAGTGGAGCAGCCAAGACTTGAACAAGTACCCATATGGGATGCTGGCACTGCAGGTAGCAGCTTTACCTGCTACACCACAGTGCCAGCCCCCCAGCTGTCTTAAAAATGAAATTCTAAGTAGGATAGTCATCCTAATTCCTAATATTCATGTATAAGTATGTGTGTTAATATAAAACAAATTTTAGAATTTGTGCAAGTATTTTATTGTATTTTTCTAAATTGTTGCTTGTATATAAGTCCTGAAAATTTGTTTGCCTTGCATTGTTATTTTTTATTTTTTTGGCACATGAACAGGGACTTGAGTGCCTTGCACTTTTAAGAGGCAGGCTGTTGGCTGTACACAGCCCCAGTGACAACACAAGCTAATGGTTGGCGATTCATGGGGGACCTGGTCACAGCTTCAGTTCTATGCAGTCTGTGGATTCACTGTCCACCACTGAACTGACTTTCCATATTTTTGTAGGTTTGTTGCTACACCTCTAGCAAAAACATTTGGCATTAAAGAGACAGTTCAAAAGATTATTCCAAATGCCACCTTAGAGAATTTTTTCAATCATTCTACAAGGCATCCATCACAAGTAAGTACCAGTTCTTTAATTTCTCCCCTCCCTCCCTCCCTCCCTCCCTCCCTGCCTTCCTTCCTCTCTTCCTCTCTTTCTTTCTTTCAATATTTTCCTTTTGTTTATTTGAAAGGCAGAGATACAGAGAGAGAGGAAGAGACAGAGAAGGGAGATCTTTTATTCTCTGGTTAATTCCCCAAGTGGCCACAACAGCTGGGGCTGGGCCAGGCTAAAGCCAGGAGCTTGGAATTCCATGTGGGTTTCCTGCAGGAGTGCAGGGGCCCAAATACTTGAGCCATATTCTGCTGCTTTGCCAGGTGTACTAGCAGGGAGCTGGATTGGAAGTGGAGCAGCAGGGACTCTAACCGTAGGATGCTGGTATCACAGGTAACCTTCTGTGTGCTACAATGCCAGCCCCAAAACCTCCTTTCTTAATCATCTGTGTCTTATCTCACTTGTACCAAAAAAACTCCAGTTGACTACAAAGAATTTGATTCATTTGGATTTGTTTCTTTGTGCTATTGACAGGTTATACAGCATCTCAAATGTAACTCAAAGTTACAAATACATATTAGGATGTAAGATCATAAATTTCAGTAGTTGAATTGTTGTTTTCTATAGTTTTAAGCCCTAAAGATCAATACCATGATTTGGTTTAAAGATCAAAGTTTAAATTTTAATGTTAGGTTTAATTTGAATGGTCATAACATACAAAGTGTACTAATCAAGAAATAATCATTAGGGCAGAAACCCCTATGTGCCATCTTGATGACGCCAGAATACATTGCATGAATCAAGGAAGTGTCTGCTGAGCTCACCTTCATGGCGAGCTCCAAATCCGCTGTGCCGCTGCCTGCTCTCAGAGATTGCACTTCAAGAACCGTGATCCTCTTCCCCTACAAAGTGTCCTTCATAACGCTGGTGGTGCACTGCACGCCCATGCATCAGAGGAGGAGATTTAAGTTTAATAGTTGTAAAATCTAGTGCCCTGACACGTCCAGTGTTAACGTCTCTCTATTGTTCAGCTGCAGTTGAAATACCACATGAAACAGAACTTCCCCACACCTTCTAGAGTGGAAAGGGACTGCTCCCCTCCCCTCTCTCCTCCCCTCCCCTCCCCTCCCCTCCTCTCTCTCCCTTTCTCTCTCTCTCAGATTTATTTGTTTATTTGAAAGGCAGAGTTACAGAGAGCCAGAGAGAGAGGGAGAGTTTTTCATTCACTGGTTCACTCCCCAAATGGCTGCAATGGCTGGAGCTGGACTGATCCAGAGCCAGGAGCCAGGAGCTTCTGCTGGGACTCCCATGTGGGTACAGAGGCCAAAGGACCTGGGCCATCTTCTGCTTTCCCAGGTGCATTAGCAGGGAGCCGGATCAGAAGTGGAGCAGCCAGGACTTGAACTGGCGTCCATATGGGATGCCAGCACTGCAGGCAGTGGCTTTACCCCCTACACCACAGCGCCAGCCCCTAGGCCTGTCTCTTGCTGGCAGTCGCTGCTCTACCTGTAGGCCCGTCCTGGAGGTGCTGCCTGCGGGGTTGCCTCAGCCTGCAACCCACTCCTGAGTGTTCCTGGCAGTTGCAGTATGGAGGTTAAGAACACAGGTTGTGGGAGACTGTCGGCCCGGGTCTGCCTCTGCTGCAGGCTGTGTGTGGAGATGGGCAGTTCACAGTGTGGGCCTCATTCCCCTCCATGATCTGAGCAGAATAGCAGTGTTCATCTCAGAGGGCTCTTGTGAGGATGCAACGGAAGCAAGTCACGTGCTTGGACTAGTGCCTGGTGCACAGTGGATGCTAGTAGGGCTCAGCTGTTGTTGGTAGTCTGTTCCCAGCACAGACGTCTACACTGACCTCTGTGGGAACATGTTTAGACCTAGCTTCCCAATTGTGTCTCACAAGACCATCCCTTGTCTCTCAATGATGCTTATTTCCCTTCCCGTCTATCTTGTGCAATTGTCTGTGCATTGTAGGTGTTCAGTAAATACTTGTCTCACAAATTAATTAAAGAGAATACTTCCAGAAACTTCTGTTTGCAAATTTCCCTCCCAGTGCCATTGTGGTGGCTGAGCCCAGCCTGGTGAAGCCTGACTTCGGTCCAGGGTCACTTGGACACAGAAAAAGGCCAGATCACAAGGGGGGTATTGCTGCTTGTGTCTTGTACGTGCCTTCATCAAGATGCTTGTGAAAGCGGTGGGCTAGTAACAAAACTGGGCTTGTCCTAACGTTGGGAAAGTTCCAGAATGAGGACGGGAACGTTAGTTTTTCTCACTGCTGAGTCTGCAGTACCTAGCACCTAGTACCTAGCAGTGGAAGCTCACTCACTGGCTTCAAGTTAATAAACATTTGAGACAGTAGAGCTGGGCCCGGAGCGCTTTCAGTGTAAGAACAGAGAGAATACAGTAGGTCGGGGCCTCAGAGTATATCCTGCCGCCCACCAGGCAAGCACATTGGAACGATGGCCTTGGGGAATCTGCTTTATGTTTTCAAATTATGTTAGAGTAAAGGGGTGCTTTTTTTAAAAAAAATAATTATTTGGTAGAAATAGAGCGCTCCTATTCACTGGCTCACTTCCCAAATGCCTGCGACAGCCAGGACTGGGTCGTGGCCAAAGCCTGCAGCTGATACCGCAATGCAGGTTTCCCATGTAGGCAGCTGGAACCCAGCTATGGGGACATCACCAGCTCTCTTCCAGGGTATGTGTTAGCATAGAGGGGGACTTGAACCCAGGTATTACACTGCCTTCTGCTGCCTTCCCGTGCACATTAGCAGGGAGCTGGATCGGAAATGGAGCAGCCAGGACTTGACCAGTGCTCTGATACAGAATGCTGACATCATGGGCAGCAGCTTAACCCACTGTGGCACAGCGCAGGCCCCTGGCTTCAGACCTGCTGGCAAGATGCCTCTCCTTCCCTGGACTCAAGCTCACGTAGCCGACCTCTCTGTCTTCCCTGCCTGCCAGGCTGCTCTACGGTTGTCACTCGCTCGCTCATTTCCTCTCGTTTCAGACCGACATCTATGGACTGGCAAAGAAGTGTCACTTGACAGAGCGCCAGGTTGAAAGATGGTTTAGGAGGCGGCGGATCCAAGACAAGCCTTCCAGGATGAAGAAATTCCAGGAGGCTTGGTGAGGAGGGTGCGGAGGGCTTGGACATGCTGTGGTTGTATCCTGGGACTGTGGTCATCTCCGGGAACACTGGCGTGGGTGCAGAGGGGGTCTGGTCCGAGGCTGGCCACTCACTGCCTCCGTGCTTGCAGTCGCCTCCCTACAAAGCAGGCAGCACACGTGCTCTGAGGGGAGCAGAGGTGCCGTGTGCTGCTCCTGAGGTCCGGAGGAATCGCAGGAAGCCTTCGCTGGGTCCAGGTTGGCCTGCGTCCCAACTCACTCACTGGTTTCGTCAGAGCAGAGAGGTTCTGAGAGGCGCGTGTCCTCCTCTCAGGTCTCCAGCTGTGAGGACCTCCTTCTGTCCAGCCTGGCTGTGGCCCCCAGCCTGTCCCACTGTGGCTTCCCAGTCGGCTTCACAGGATGCACCAGGGCCCTCTGTTTGAGGAGCTGCTGGGCGCAGTGTCCTGCCTCCTATTCTGTTGCTGTCTCTGCTGCATGTGCTGCACCTGCCACCCTGCAGAGTTCCCTGTGCTGGTGACACGGGTGATAGCCTGCCATGGGGTTCAGGCCCAGGAGGGAGTTCAGAGTGCCCCTCTCCAGCCAGGCAAGGCAGAGGGGGCTGCTGGGATCTCCTCCACACAGCACTGGTTTAAGAGGGAAGGTGTGGTCTGGCCAGCAGCCTTAAGCAGCTGAGTAGGGAGACGGGAGCCTCATGTGCGAGACCCCTGACCTGCCGCAGCCCGTGCCAAGCCGCAGGATGGTGTTCTGCGGCCCACTCAGGGCAGGGCCAGGTGAGTGTGGCAGGTGCACCTGGCATGGCGGCAGCATGGCTGCGGAAGCTGGAGAGGAGCTTCTCAGAGAGAGGACCCTGAGCCAGCCCCAGAGAATGGGTCGGGTTTCAGCAAGAGCGGAAGCAGGAGCTGGGCAGCGTTTCTAAGCAAAGCAGACACAGAGCAGGAAATGATCCAGTATATTCAGGAAATAGTACGTGGGCCCACAGATAGCATTCACACTTGATCTTATTTTTTAACAATGGCACAGATAACCATTAAAAGTTGTTCTGGACTAGATAAACAGATCAAAGTAAAACACCAAGCTCTCTCACTGTGTGCAGACTGCTTTATTCTACCAGGTCTGGGCAGGGTTAGGAGATCATAGTGCCAGGTCTGCAGCCCCAGGCACTGTGGGAATGTCTAGCGCCAGGCTCTAATGGATACTGCCCACCAGGCAGCACTTCCTCCCTGACTCCAGGTGGATTTCTCTGGGCACCTGGGGTCGCTGTGTTGTCCTCCGTACTTTCTTTAATGATGGCCCGTACCTGCTGTTCCAGAGCACTCAGGGCTTTAATCCCTAGCAGGTACTTTTTTAAATTAATTTTTGTTTGAGAGACAGAGACATAAAGAATGCGCTCCCATTGCCTGGTCCATGCTCCAGATGAGCACAACACCCAGGGCTGGGCAAGGCTGCAACTGGGAGCCACATGGGTGGCTGGGGCCCAATTACTTGAGCCACCAACCTGCTGCCTCCCAGGGTGCACACTAGCAGGAAGCTGGAGTTCCACGCTGATCCAGGTACTGCAGTGTAGAGCCCAGGCACCCTGACTCTAGGTGACAGGGCTCACTCACTCCTTTGTAGTTTTTAAATCAGGTCTCTATTAGCTGAGATAACATTTCCCCTGTAGTAAGACATGATTCCCGACTACCTGCAGTTTCTAGGCAGGAGAGCCCCCTGAGCTGGACGGGGGCTCTCCCCTCACCCTCACTGGCCTGCCTGGCTGCCTCTCCCACTCCCCAGCCCCGTCTCTGGCCCCATCACCATCAGCCACGTTCGCTCTGCCAAGTTCCTCCTGACCTCACCCTGCAGTCCCATCTTCTCCTGTTACTGTCATCTTTGCATAAGCGACCAATGTCAGAATTTTTTTCTCAGTGTTTTTTTTTTTTCTCCCACAATTACATGGATCTCAGCCTTTCCTGGAATAAAGGAAGTTTTACAACCTTGGGTTTATTTGAAGTGAGTGCAATGGCGCCAACAGACAGCATCATTCATCTTGTTATCAGTTGAGGGTAGCAGTTCTCAAACTTCTTGGTGTCAGGATATCATATTCTCTTAAAAGCTCTTGAGGCTCCCAAAGAACAATTATGTGCCTTATACCTGTATAATATTTCCTGTATTAGAAATGGAAAGTGAGACATTTGTAAAACATGAGACTGTGCAAGCTGTCATTTCATCAGTATAATTTTACTGAGAGCAGTGTTGTGATCCTGTCACATAACCTCATTTGTGAGGGAAGGAGAGGGAGAGGGGTGAATAATACTTCAGTGTTATTATGTACACTTTTGGCCTCAAGGGCCCCTGGCACACCCCTTGAGAACCTCCGGCACAGGGCGAGCTCTGAGGTCTCGCTCAGCCTCAGATCCCGTCAGGATGCACTGTATCTACTTTTTAGGGCTGGAAGAAATAGTCTGTAAGAAGGGGCTAATTATAATACCAGCTTCATAATCTTGTTAAAATATGTTTTAAATTCCTGATAAAACTGTGACTACTCACGTGGCCTGGCACAGTCCTGGGCACAGGGTCAAGACATCAATAAATGCTTGAGAAACAAACAAAATGAGGTTTGCCCCCTAGGCTCGAGCTGCATTGGTGGGCTGGCTGGCCTTATGGTCTCCTCTTTCTTGTGCTTCTTGTTTGGACAAAGATAATCCAGGAACCCAAGGAAATGTTCTGTGTATCTTTGTTGGACCAAAGGCAGATAAAGCAAGGACAGACAGGTCTCGAGTTGCATGTGGCACAAAGCCCTGTAGGTTTCGCTGTGGTTCAGCTTTCTGAGTGTTGAACCCAAACCAGCCATGAGGACTGTGATCTAGTGTGGAGGCAGTGACAGGCGAGGGGCAGAATCCTAACCCCTGCCCTTTGGGTTTTACGTGGCCTGGGGCAGTGGGCCAGTGACTGCATCTCCAAGACTGGAAAATGAAACGTGCCTACGTTCCTGTTCCTGCAAGTGTAGGCGTGGTGGGCAACGCTCCACAGGGGCCTTGCACACGTGTAAGGGACAAATACTGCTTTATGATCGTTATCTCAGCAGTCGCTAGGTAAAATAGGAATAATTTTTAAGAGGAATTTTATTTTGGAAAGTTGCACACACACAAAGGTAGACAGAGTACGTAAGGAACTGTGTATGCTACTGCCTGTCACTAGCTGTTAACAGTTGTCACCCAAGGCCACTCCTATGTCATCCAACCCCACTCACCCTGTCCCGCACAACAGACTATTTTTGAAGCAAATGTAAGACATTATATGATTTGGTTTGTCGGTAGTGTATCATGTGTCTTTAAAATATAGAACTCTTGTATTTTAAGCAAAAATTCTAATACTAGGCTAGGACCTTATCTGAAAAATTTTAATTTAATAGCAACAACTATTCCAAAAGTGTTCAGATTTAATTGCCTCAATGATTTTCTTTATAATTTATTTCGATCAGAATCTAAATAAGATCCATATATTGCAGTTGGTTGACACAGTGTCTGTCAAGCGTCTTAATGCATAAGTCTTTCTTCCATATACAGCAAAAAATAGTTTCTTTCAAATCTACTCTTAAGAGAAAAGGCTGAAGTCTGGCCATATAGAGATATTTTAAATGGAATTTAAATGGGAATAAAATAAGTGATTGGGCTAATTAGACTCTGTCATGTTTTGTTGGCGACAGTGTTAATATCGAACCATTGTTGGCTTTATGTCTGGACAACTAGCGCATGTTGTTGCTTGCTTCAGGTTAAAAAGATGACGAGACCATTCACAAATTACCTTCAATGGCTGTTATGTTTTGAGATAAGGTTTGTTCTCATATTATGGGCTGAAAGACTCGCTGTGCAGTAGCCCTGTGGCTGGAGGACTCGCTGTGCAGTAACCCTGTGGCTGACGGACTCGCTGTGCAGTAGCCCTGTGGCTGGAGGACTCGCTGTGCAGTAGCCCTGTGGCTGGAGGACTCGCTGTGCAGTAGCCTTTGGTGGAGGGCAGAGCCGGGTGTGGACGCGGGAGCCTGTGACTCCACTGTGCACTCTTAGCTCTGCCCCGCCAGTCCCGGTCTGCCCTGCGGCTCAGCCTGCTCTGCAAGGCGGTGAAGACTGTTCTTTCTTCCCACAGCTGGCGGTTTGCATTTTACTTAGTGCTCAACATTGCTGGAGCCGCATTCCTTTATGATGTAAGTTGTCTTTTTGATCTCTTTGATTGGAATTTGTAATTTTAAAGATTCTTGCCTAAAAATTCCTGTAAGGTCCGGTACTTCCAGTTAGAAAACCAGTTTTAGAGATTTCTCTCAGATATATATTACACATTATATATTAAATATGTATTACATATTATATAATATATATTAAATATATACATTTAAGTTTATTTATTCATTTGAAAGAGTTATACAGAGAGACAGAGAGATCCTCCATCCACTGGTTTACTCCCCAGATGGCCTGCAATGGCTAGAGCTGAGCCAGACGGAAGCCAGGAGTCAGGAGCCTCTGCTGATCTCCCACATGGGTGCAGGGCCCAAGCATGTGGGCCTTCCTCCACTGCCCTCCCAGGCCATCAGCAGGGAGCTGGATTGGAAGTGGAGTAGTCAGGATTCAAACCAGCGCCCTTATGGCAGAGTCTCAGGTGGTGGCTTTACCCACTGTGCCCGACGTTGGCCTCTCTCTCAGATATCTCATTGCTACAGATGTCTCCAGATACTGACATTGCTATGGGAGTCTGATCTCTAGTTGGTTTGGAAGTCATGTGTTAGTGGACTCACTTGCTCACGGCAGTTCCTGGGTTCACAGGCGTTTCCTCAGCACTGGCTGCCGACCTCAGATTCTTTCTGAGTCGTGGATTTCACAGGTGGTAGAGTGAACACCCAGACAGTGAGAGCAGAAGTAGATCTTGCCGTGTGTCTCGTTTCCCAAAAAGAACGTCAGGAACAGCTCATGTTTTCTGCTGAAATTAGCCTTGGACTCTGACAAAAATTTTTTTTAAGAGATTCTCTTTTATTTATTTACTTGAGAAGTGGAGTTACAGAGAGAGGGAGAGACAGAGAGAAAGGTCTTCCCTCCGCTGGTTCAGTCCCCAGATGCCACAATGGCTGTAGCTGCACTGATCCGAAGTCAGGAGCTTCCTCCTGGTCTCCCATGCAGGTGCAAGGACCCACACTTGGGCCATCTTCAAATGCTTTCCCACGCCATAGCAGAGAGCTGGATGAGAAGTGGAGCAGCCAGGACTTGAACCGGCGCCCAATGGGATTTTGGTGCCACAGGCAGAGGCTTAGTCCGCTCTGCCACAACGCTGACCCCTGGACTCTGATAAATTAACTTCTCTCTTGGCTCCTTTTCCCCCCCAGAAACCTTGGGCGTATGACCTGTGGGAGGTTTGGAATGGCTACCCCAAACAGGTAAGTCCCCTCTGGCACAGCACCCCCTCACTTCCACACCCAGGGCCCTGAGCTTGCCCCTGGCTAGGGCTGTCCCCCCTTGGGCTTTGCCCACTGCCCTGGCACCACCATGCCGCAGCCTCCTCACCCTTACTGCCCCTCACTCGTCTCGTCCTGGGGTTTGTGTACAGCCACTGTAATCACGCGCTACGGCTTAGATCGCCCATCTTACTGTTGACTTCTTTTTTTTAAGATTTTTATTTATTTATTTGAGAGTTAGAGTTACAGACAGAGAGGCAGAGACAGAGAGAAAGGTCTTTCTCTGCTTCACTACCCAAATGGCCACAATGGCTGGAGCTACGCCAGTGCAAAGCCAGGAGGAGCCAGGAGCTTCTTCCAGGTCTCCCACGCGGGTGCAGGGACCCAAGGACTTGGGCCATCTTCTACTGCTTTTTCAGGCCACAGCAGAGAGCTGGATTGGAAGAGGAGCAGCTGGGACTCTAACCGGCGCTCATATGGGATGGCCGTGCTGCAGGCGGAGGATTAACCTACTGCGCCACGGCGCCGGCCCCCTGTCGACTGTATTTTTTAGCACCTTTTCTACACCCTCCTTTTCTGTGGGACAGCCAAATTTTTTTTTCTTTTTTTTTTTTTTCATTAGAGTTCTCTGTCTTCCCTTAGAGTGACTGTGAGCTGTGCATTCGTGGTTATCCTGGAGATACTCACACACATGCGTGATTATTACAGTCCAGTATCCAGTAGAGCCCACACCTCTGGCCAGCCGCTGGATGGTCGTTCGATATACCACACACCCTCCTCCTTCAAGTATTGAAAACCCTGCAGGTCATTCCTGTCCTTGTTTTGGTGGTCAGTGGGCTTCCCTCCGCACGCTGTCGCCTGCTTCCTGCTACCCTTTTGGCTGAAGAAATCATCTTGGTGTTACTGAAGGGCAAGTCTGACACGTCTTGTGTGTCTCAAAGTGTTAGCACCTTGCCTTTTTTTTTGTTTTTGTTTTTGTTTTTTAAAGGATGCTTTTGCTTGGTATAGAATTCTAGGTCTTTCCAGTTCGTGCCCTAAAAATGTTCTGTCTTTTTCTGGGATCCATCAACTTTAAGAATTCAGCTATCACTTTTTTCCTTCTTTGAATATGATGTCTTTTTTCTCTCTCTGTTTTGTTTATCTTTTTTTCTGGCTTCCAGCAGTTTTGTTACGATATACATAGGAAAACGTAGTACATCTTGAATCTGCAGCTTGGTATCTTTAGTGAGATTGGAAAATGTTTAGCCGTCGCTGCTGTTCCTTTCTCTGTCTGGATTCCAAGTGCGACGGTGCTAATGTGCTAGCCTTTCACAGGAGGCCCCGAGAGTCCCTTATGCTTTCAAAGTTGTCGCCATCCTCTTGCCTCTCTGCTCTTTGGTCTGTTGGGAGGAGCCCTCCGTGGGTCTCTGGCATTTCTGTGTGTCGTGTGAGATGGGGCACCGACTGCCTTCTGTCTGCACTTCTTTCCAGTGTTGTCAAAGAGCTGAGCAGATAATGACAGTTTCTCTCTCTAGAGCAAAGGGTGAGCGTGTTGCTGTCCACTAAAAAAACTCAGCTTCTCCAGCCCAGGGACCCACTGTGCGTGTGGTTGTGATTTGACCCTCTTTGCTCAGCCCCATGGGAACTGAGGGCAGGAGACCTGGCCCAGATACTGACACTCTGCTTACTGCTATTACTTGGAGCCATAGCCTATCCTTTCTCTCTGACCCAGGAGTCTCCTTTGTCTCCCAGGATCCATGAGACTTGTGACACTCTGACTGTTAGCTCGCGAGTAGGGTGGGAATCTCAGACTCTGGTCGCTCTGGGTATTTTCTACTTTGATGTCCTCTAGTTCACTCGTGCCTTCTTCTTTTGTGGCCTTCATGTCTTTATTTAAAAAAAAAAAAGATTTATTTATTTATTTTAAAGGCAGAATTACAGAGAGGCAGAGGCAGAGAGAGAGAGAAAGAGAGAGAGAGAAAGAGAGGTCTTTCATCCTCTGGTTCACTCCCCAAATGGCCACAAAGCCTGGAGCTGGGCCTATCCGAAGCCAGGAGCCTCTTCCAGGTCTCCCACGTGGGTGCAAGGGCACAAGGACCTGGGCCATCTTCTACTGCTTTCCCAGGCTACAGCAGAGAGCCGTATTGGAAGTGGAGCAGCCAGGACTTGAACCGGCACCCATATAGGATGCCGGCCCTCAAGTGGCAGCTGGTTTACCCTCTACACCACAGTGCCAGCCCCGGCCTTAATTTCAGTTATTTCATTTTTCATTTCTCTAATTTTCATTTAATTTTTTTTAAAAAGATTTATTATTTGAAAGTCAGAGTTACACAGAGAGAGGAGAGGCAGAGAGAGAGAGAGAGAGAGAAAGAAAGAGTGAGAGAGAGAGAGAGAGAGAGGTCTTCTATCCGATGGTTCACTCCCCAATTTGCTGCAGTGGCCGGAGCTGTGCCAATCTGAAGCCAGGAGCCAGGAGCTTCTTCCGGGTCTCCCACATGGGTGCAGGGGCCCAAGGACTTGAGCCATCTTCTACTGCTTTCCCAGGCCATAGCAGAGAGCTGGTTTGGCAGTGGAGCAGCCGGGTCTCAAACAAGCACCCATATGGGATGCCAGCACTTCAGACCAGGACGTTAACCCGCTGTGCCACGGCGCTGGCCCCCTTAATTCTTTTTTTGTGGGTGCCAGTTCTCTACTGAAATTTCCCATCTTCTAATTGAGTTTTGAACTTATTTTAAAGTCCAAATCTGATGAGTCTCATATCTTCATCTCTGTTGGAGCTGTTTTCTTTTTCATTCTTATCTCCTTATGCTTTGATAACCTTCGGTTGAATTAGAGACACCGTATGTGAGAAATTATAGATGACCAGAGCAGCATCCTCCTTCCGAGTGAATTCACTTTTATTTCTGTTGGGTGTCAGGGAAGGGCCAGTCACCTTTAATTCACGAGTGGGCCAATTCAGTGTGGACCACAGTCTGTGAGGGTCGGTGTGTTGCCAGCCAATCCATGTCGCAGGCTGCTCTTCAATGGTTTGAACGGAAGGTGACGTGTTAGGACTCCTTTGTCTTGGTCACCCTGAAGACTGCCTTGTTTCTGATGCTATGCGGTTCCCAGAAGCCCTGCACACCATCGGCTGCATCTGCATCTCTGCAATCCAGCTGCATATAAGTTGAAAAATACAGAATCTATGATATACATAGGGGTGGTTTTCTTTGGATTTATTCTACTTACAATTAGTAAGTAGAATATGGTAATTAGTAATTCATAAATAGAATTAGTAAGTAGAATATTCTTAAATAATGGGTGCACGTGCACATGAAGGGTTTGCTCTAATGAGTCCGCTCCCCCCTTTGAGTCTTAACTCTTTGATTTCTGGATACCTTGATTGCTCTGTGATGCCTTCAAACACTCTTTTTTTGTCTTTTATCCAGATTTTTAAAAGTTATTCCCACTATGGGGCCTAAGTTATTACAGGCTTGTTATTCAGAAGAGAGCAGACTCTCCCCTTCTTTTGTGACCTGGTGGAGGCTGCCGGGTGGACCAGTGGACCTTTAATGCTGTTATCCTCAGCATTAAAGAATCAAAGAAGAGACCTAGGCATTCTCTCTGCCAAACCCCGTCCCATCATCTTCCACCTCCAACTTAGTCTTATCTTGTCAGATGTACCAGTTATCTGTTGGTAACAAATCATCCTCAAAGCTCCCTGCCTTAAGATAACAACCATTTATTTGCTCAAATTTGAGTTGGAGTTGGGCTGGGCTCAACTAAGCAGAGATTCTGCTCCGTGCAGCATCAGCTGAATTCATTCCCATATATTATTTTCCCTCAGGGGAGGGCTTGTGTCCCTGATGCCTTCCTTCATGTCTTTAGCAGTCAGCCCATTGATTGTCTTCTTTGAAGCCCCCCCACCCCCAGGGTAGCTCAGATTTCTTAAGGGTGCTTGGTTTGAAGCCCCTGCTTGCACCACACTTACTTCTGTTCGCGTCCCTGGTCAGTGTGAAGGAGACCACACAAGGGCCGACATCAGGAACACTCACTGGGAGCATGAAGGTGGTAGTGTCTCCAGCAAGAACAGAATGCCTCCACGTAGCCAAAATAAGCACCCCCACGACCATGCAATTATTAGGGAAGCTTCTAGCTGTAGATATATGTTTTGAGAAGACATTTGTAGAGTCCTTAAGTGGTTGTATACACTATTACTGCTCCTTTAAAGTATGCACAGCTGTGGCTATTTCATAAACTTCTTAGACAAAAACATTTAACTTGATTTTGGAATAACTGTCTACCTTTTTAGAAATAAAATACCTCAAAATAGTATCTCCAGTTCCTTTTGTGAAAGTTGAAGTATAAATCACTGTCATTTGATGGAGTTTTTGTGTAATACAAGTAGGTATAGCAGTAGGTCTTGGTGCATTGAGATAAGTGTTGCCAGGGTGGTATGTAAAGTAGTGAATTCTCCTCCTCAGCCGCTGCTGCCCTCCCAGTACTGGTACTACACCTTAGAAATGAGCTTCTACTTCTCTCTGCTGTTCAGCCTCAGCTCCGACGTCAAGAGGAAGGTAAGCATCTTATTTGCAAAGCTGCTTGATCAGTTTCTTTGGAAACTCACATCCTTCTGCCTAAAATTCCAATTCCTAATGGTGTTTCCAGCTCCGGTGCACTGACATTTTTGGTCTGTAGAGGCCCTTGGATAGCCTTGTGAGGAAATCTTGCTTCAGGCTTTATTACCTTTGCCTTATTTTCAGGGAGACTGAGTCACAGACACCTACAGTGCCTCCTCTGAGGTCACAGGAGGAGGCGCTTGGGGACTGTCTGGTTGTCACCGGTTCCCCTTTGCTAGACCAGAAAACCAGTCCCGAGACTTCCTCCCACGTCAGCACTGTAGATCAGACCATGAATACTTGTAGTGGATGCTTCATGTTCTGCACCCCACATAGAAGCTTGGTTTGCAAACGTGTGTATGATGAATAAAATGAAGTTTAATTCAATATTAGGGCAAACCAGGTTCAGCTGAGTGGTGCTTGAGCTGAGTGAGGAGGACATTTCCTCATTACTAAAGGGCACGCTGGTCAACTGAACATTTAACAAGAAGACTTAAACTATGTACAAGAGCACGCTGGGGAGGAATGAGAGATGTGCTCTCCACTTCCACGTAACTCGATAATAGCTACACGTTTAACTGTTACCTACTTCAGTCCAAGAAGGCATCACAATTTAGTTGTTTGGGTATTTTTCCTCAAAGAAATCTTCACTGGAGGAAGGAAGTGTCAGAATCAAAAGTAATAATACCATTACAGGAAGGGGAGTCGGGGTAGTGAGCAAAGGGAAGGTCATGGTCATCAGTGTCTCAGTTTTCCTAACGGGTTTATCACATGTGGACAACTTATTATATCGTTCAGGTTTCTTTTGACATTTGTATGTAAAGGCATCAGATCATATGTATTTTCTGATTTTTCCCCCAAATATTGAATATGAGACTAATCCATATTAATAAGTGTGGTTGTATTTAACTTATTCTTACTGTTGCATAGTTTTGTAAAGGTACTGGTTGTTCATTCTACTATTAAAGATCCTGGGTTTTTTCAAAAAAAAACCTTCGCAGAAAAGTAGATTGATCCTGTATTTCTCCCACGTTTATTTCACAGTGGTTGATTTTTCTTTTATCACAGATGGGTGTTACTTGTTCCATCTACATTTATTGTAATGGTTGTATATACTTTTATTATAACTTTTTTTCTTTTTTGGAATTAGGCAAGGAATAAACATGTGTGCATATGTGTGTATGTGTGCATGTGTCCAGTTTGGGGCAGGGAAGAGCAAGCACATGTTAACAATTCAATGACAAGTCTTCAAGCTAAATGACTTCATCAGTAAGGATGATACTTGTGCTAGCCTTCTCGCAAGGATCATGTTTAAGGATGTAAAGTGAAAGCATTTTAGAAATTTCAAACCATACAGATGCATATTGTTGGTGGTGTTATTATGTCTTCCAGTGACTGGGAAATAACTGTGTTTGCTTAATGCCTTCCATCTCCCCCTGGTTCCACAGGACTTCCTGGCACACGTCATCCACCACCTGGCTGCCATCAGTTTGATGAGCTTCTCGTGGTGTGCTAATTACATCCGCAGCGGGACCCTCGTGATGTTTGTGCACGACGTGGCTGACATTTGGCTGGAGGTACACGAAGGCCCTTACAGACCTAGTGACAAGACCAGGTCCTGGGCTGCTGCAGCTGCTCCCAGAAGATGTGGTCTTGGGGCGATGTAGCCCTGAAAGCATCCCAAGCCCGAGAATGTGTCTGGGTTCCCAGATCCTTCAAGACTGAAAAAGCGAACCCTGTCAGTGTTAATTGTTAAACCTCTTGAGTGGTGCCAGAGAGAGGCAGAGTGGGGGAGTCCACAGGTGGCAGGTGCATGTGGGTGCCAGGAAGGCTGTCAGGAAGATGGGGTGTCTGAAGAAGGAATGGGTTCTAATCTTTTCCAAGGAAAGCCTTGGTTTGTGGTATCAGGGATTTTAAAGTTGGACAGCACCATCTGTTCCCTTTGGCCAATGCCTGAGTTAGCTAGTGAGTGCTCACCTGCTCCAGCCCAGTCTGCTCCTTTAGGGATGTTTTCCTAAATGGCCATCGTTTGCCAAGGGAGAAAGAGGGCTTAGGGTGCTTCCTGAAACAGCGATCTTCCTAAATCCCTCACCCCACTCACATCACCCACAAAATAGGAGCATCAAAGCCACGTGTTTCCTTGCCATGTGTTTCTTACGTGTCGGTTCCTGTTGACCGCCTGGCCATGACTGAATGGTCCCTGTCATTGCAGTCTCCTGCTGGACTCAGCAGTGGGTGCCGGGACCACTTAGGTGTCATCATTTATAATGAACCCAGTGAAAGCGATGCTGACCATTTCACATTCAGGATTGCCCCTTGAGGGGCTAATCATGGAAAATAGGTTGATATGGAAGGAATTAAACTTAATAGAATCTTGCGCCTCTAGATCTGGGTTCAGTGAACTTTTTGGTAGAGGGCCAGGTAGTAAATCTAGTTGTGGACTGCACGTGATTTTCTTTGTTTTTTGGTCTTTTCTTTTTCCTTACACCCCCTTAAAAATGTGAAACCCATTCTTAAGGGCCGGCCCACTTCAGCCTGTGGGCAGGCTGCAATTTTCCAAGCCCTGTTCACAAGGTACCAGAAGTGTTTGAAGCCGTTTCGAAGCATCTGGCCGCGTGGAAGTGTTCTCGTGCCTCCACCTGGTGTGTAACCAAGATCAGCTCTGTCAAGCCCACTCTGAAGGTGGAGCGGATTCAGGTGCTCAGGGCAGTCATGGGCTGAGCAGAGGGGGCTTGGGCCGGCGCGGCCGTGCGCGGCCGTCTCCACCGTGCTGACCTCCCCCTCTGATCCTGTCTCAGCCACCCTGACTGAAGACTAAGAGCACACGGGCCTGGCTCCAGAGCTGTGTTCTGTCTGTTGTTCCTGAGCCCTCTGGTTCCACTGCCTTTGGGTGTGTCCAATGCAGCAGCAGCTTCATTGTGCTGGGGAGGGGGTGGGTGCTCAGACCCCAGTAGACACTGAGTGGTCACGCACACACACCCCCATACCCACATACCTCCTGTCATTAACGTGACACAACCGACTCCCTGAGAGACTTGGACAAATCACTTACTGTTTTGTTTTCTCTCCTCATGGAACCTGAGAAGCCCTGTCTGTCCCTTAGGGTACACTGTGGGGTTTAGCTCATTCCTGTTTAAAAATGTTCTGAGGTCCTTCGGTAACAGCAACAATAACAGAAGCAAAACAGGAGAAGCCAGATGTCCAGCTGCGGGGCCCTTCATGGCTGCGCCCTGAGGACAGCTCCTGTCGACAGTGATCCTGAGTCGGTGTAGCTGGAGGTCTAGCTGGAGGAGCCCAGGTCTCGGTGTAGCTGGAGGCCCAGAGCAGGGCTGCAACTCCCTCCGCACCAGGGGTAGCGCCGACGTCGCCTGGGGGCCAGGGCCCCTTGGTGGTGTCGCAGATGGCGCTGCCCGCATCGCCCACTTCCGGAGCAGTGAGTTAGTGTTTGCTCTCTCGGTCAGGGGCTGATTGCACCCACGTAGGATACAGCTTCTTCCCCTGTGTAGACCTCTCTTGAGAAGGAGCTGGTTAATCTTTCTTCTTCCTGAGGACAGGTGGTAGACCACTGGTCAGCTCCCCAGCATCTACACCCCTCACCCCTAGGTGACCTTTTGCCCTCCCCTGGCAGACCCAGCACCCCCACAGTCTCCTCAGTGGTCCCGAGCAAACAAGGGAGGTTGTCGCCTGGTTTCTCGTTATCAGTCAGGCCAGAGTGTGCGCAGCAGCTTTTCTGCCGAGAAAGCTACTTTGCCTCCCCAAGGGGTTCACGGAATTTCCGTCATTAACATGTGCATCCCTCACATCCCATGCTGGCCTAGACGCTGACCCTCCAAACAGTGACCCAGCTAATTCCAGCGATGCTAAACCTCTGGTCTTGCCCTCACCCCTGACTCCCAGCCCTAGGTGTGCTCGCCTTCTGGGCCACAGCTGAAGCTGTTGAGTTTGCGGTCGCTGCCAGCCCACGGTCTGGTCCCACATCCGCACCTTGTTGGGTTGGAAATGCAGTGCGGAGCCTTTCTGATTCTTGAAGGCCCTGAGCCTCCAGGTGACGTCATTTCTGAGCCCGCCCAAGGACAAGCTGCGGTCCCTCGAGGGATGGTCTGCACCCCAGCAGCTTCACCCGCTTGCCTGCCCCCGGCCCCCATCAGAAACGTTCCCTTCCAGCCTTGGGCTCCCTGGTAATGTGGCAGAGACCCTTCCTCAGCCGGCCTCAGACAGCACATTCAGCATCTGTGTTTGCATTTCTGTGGCTCCTACACAGATAATATGAGCAGCACAGTCTGCATAAAGCAGGAGAAATCAGGTGTCCACTCTTTATTCCAGCCAGCACAGGGTTCCAGAGTTGCCTCTGACCCTGCATCTCCCGTCATCCTCTCTGAAGTGGCCACACTGATGCAGCGGTCCCAGCCTGGGCCAGGGGCTCACCATTCAGCCTTTTGTTAACCGTTGATGGAGATAGTAAATAAATGCCCTAAAAAAATGCATCTTAGAACTGTTTATGCTAACTTAGCATGAGTTATCGTAGTCATTGTGACGTCCTTTTAGATTATTACGTTACCGAAAATTGCAAACATATGACAAGTAAGGAGAACAGTGTGAGGAGCTGTCCAGCTCTAGCACTTGTCACTGTGGCCGATCTTGTGCGATCCATCGGCCCACCCACACTTGTCCCTTCCTTGCAGACTGCTTTGAAACTAATCCCAGATGCCCTGTCATTTAATTTATACATATTTAATTTGTGAAGTCTGTGCTACTCTCACTTTATCCGCTGAAGTTTGCTTTCTTCGTCCTCAGTCTGCTAAGATGTTTTCCTACGCTGGATGGAACCAAACCTGCAACTGCCTCTTCTTCATCTTCTCCCTGCTCTTCTTTGTCAGCCGCTTCATCGTCTTCCCCTTCTGGTAAGTGGACAGGCGCTGCGCCCTGCCTCGGCGTGCACTCGGGTTGTCGAGCAGGCGTTACCGTCGCCGTTGTCTTGCCTTTCCTTGTGTTCATCCCTGGTTGGTCGTGCCACCTTCAGTTGGAGAAAAGGAATGTGAGCATTTTTATAAATAAGAAGAGCAGAATCCTCCAATGTGAAAAAAGTCTCATTTCAAAGGGAGGTGGAGAATTGTGTGCCCCAGTAGCTGAGCACCTCCTCGTTTGCAGCTTGTCTGATGAGTGTGCATCTCTCTTTGAGATCGGCGACCTTCCAGGTACCCAGTGAAGAGTCATTGGCCAATCATCAGGTCTCTAGGAGAGGCGTGTTCTGCGTTCCTGTAATTATACCTGCTAATGCAATGCCAGACTTTAGATTGGGTCCTTGATGTATCTTGGCTCCAGTCTACCCGACAAACCAGGGAGCTGGGTATTATCACTGCCACTTCACAGATGCCGAAACCGATACTCATCTTGTTCTCAGTGACTACTAGTCTTCACAATGATTAGGGTGCCCTTTTGATATTGATTGACTCAGGTGATTTTGTTTTGCTATGGGCTGGAATGAAGAACTTCTTTTTTAAAGATTTGTTTTATTGATTTGAAAGGCAGAGTTCTTGTTTTTAACTTTTATTTAATAAATATAAATTTCCAAAGTACAGCTTTTGGATTACAGTGGCTTTCCCCCCCATAACTTCCCTCCCACCTGCAACCCTCCCATCTCCCGCTCCCTCTCCCATTCCATTCACGTCAAGATTCATTTTCAATTCTCTTTATATACAGAAGATCAATTTAGTATATATCAAGATTTCAACAGTTTGCACCCACACAGAAACACAAAGTGTAAAATACTGTTTGAGTACTAGTTATAGCATTAAATCACAATGTACAGCACATTAAGGACAGAGATCTTACATGGGAAGTAAGTGCACAACGACTCCTCTTGTTGACTTTACAAATTGACACTCCTGTTTATGGCGTCAGTAATCTCCCTAGGCTCTCGTCATGAGTTGCCAAGGCTATGGAAGCCTTTTGAGTTTGCCAACTCTGATCTTATTTAGATAAGGTCATAGTCAAAGTGGAAGTTCTCTCCTCCCTTCAGAGAAAGTTACCTCCTTCTTTGATGGCCTGTTCTTTCCACTGGGATCTCACTTGCAGAGATCTTTCATTTAGGTGTTGTGGTTTTTTTTTTTTTTTTTTTTTTTTTTTTGCCAAAGTGTCTTGGCTTTCCATGCCTAAAATACTCTCATGGGTTCTTCAGCCAGATCTGAATGCCTTAAGGGCTGCTTCTGAGGCCAGAGTGCTGTTTAGAGCATCTGCCATTCTATGAGTCTGCGGTGTATCCCGCTTCCCATGTTGGATCGTTCTCTCCCTTTTTATTCTATCAGTTAGTATTTGCAGACACTAGTCTTGTTTATGTGATCCCTTTGACTCTTAGACCTATCATTATGATCAGTTGTGAACTGAAATGGATCACTTTGACTAGTGAGATGGCATTGGTACATGTCACCTTTATGGGATTGAATTGGAATCCCCTGGCATGTTTCTAACTCTACCATTTGGGGCAACTCCGATTGAGCATGTGCCAAAGTGTACATCTCCTCCCTCTCTTATTCCCACTCTTATATTTAACAGGGATCACTTTTCAGTTGAATTTAAACACCTAAGAATAATTTTATGTTAATTAAAGAGTTCAACCAATAGTATTAAGTAAAACAAAAAAGAATACTAAAAAGAATAAAGTATTAAGTTTTTCCTTGACAGTCAGGACAAGGGCTGATCAAGTTACTGTTTCTCCTAGTGTCCATTTCACTTCAACAGGTTTCCTTTTTGGTGCTCGGTTAGTTGTCCCTGATCATGGAGAACATATGATATTTGTCCCTCTGGGACTTGCTTATTTCACTCAGCATGATGTGTTCCAGATTCCTCCATTTTGTTGCCAATGACCGGATTTCTTTTTTTTTTTTTTTTTTTTTTTTTTTTTTTTTTTACTGCTGTATAGTATTCTATAGAGTATATGTCCCATAATTTATTTACCCAGTCTACTGTTGATGGGCATTTAGGTTGATTCCAGGTCTTAGCTATTTTAAATTGAGATGCAATGAACATTGAGGTGCAGACAGCTTTTTTTATTTGCCAATTTAATTGAAAGGCAGAGTTCTAAAGAGAGCACGAGAGAGAGAGAGCGAGAAAGAGAATCTTCCATCTACTAGTTCACTTCCCAAATGGTCACAATGGCTGGGGCTGGGGCTGGGCCAGGCTGAAGCCAGGAGCCAGAGGTTTCTTCCAGGTCTCCCATGTGGGTACAGAGGCCATCCTCCACTGCTTTCCTGGACACATTAGCAGGGAGCTGGATCAGAAGTGGAGCAGCCGGAACTTGAACTGGCACCTCTATGGGATGGCAGTATTTTAGGCAACAGCTTAGCTCATTACACCACAGAGTCGACCTTAGAACCGCTGTTTTGCCTCCTGTGACAGTTATCCCTGGGCAAGCATAATGCCATGTGCTGACTGACGAGAGCAGACTTACGGGGTGTTGCCTCCCGTACACTGGGCCTTGCCAGGCAGTTTCTTGAGAGAAGCGGAGTGCAGTGGTTCAGTTCATCTGTGCAAGAGGCAGGCCTAGATTCAAGTCCCAGCTGCATACTCCCTTCCTGTGTGATCCTGGACAGGTGAAAGCCTCTCTTTTTGTCTCAGTTTTCTCACCTGCAAAGTGGAAATAACTGAGCTAGTATAACGTAGTCCAGAAGCATGTCTGATACGTCAGAAGGGCTCAGTAAATGCTACCTAGTGTTTTATTGAAATTGCTAATGAATAGCTCAGGAATTGGGATGTGGTCTAGAATCAAATCAAAGTGCACGTCTCAGACACATTCCTTTGTTGGCTAATCTATCTTTTCACTTTGACTAAGCAAGCATGTTTGTAGTTATAATGTTGTGCACTAAGAGGCGTTGCGGGGATAAGCAGTGACTTGTGGACAGCAGCTGGGTAAGGCTTCTCACCATGATTTTCATGGGTGAGCCCAGCACTTGCCCAGTGGTGCCCTCATCACCTCCCCAGTGCACTGTGGGTTCCAGGCTCTGTTGCTGTGTCAGAATCCATCAGAAAGCTCTGTGCTTCACACAGCAGTGGGCGGTGGCCCAAGAATAAGTATTTTAGGCTTTGAGGGCCACATGTGGCCTTTGTTGCGTATTTTCTTTTGTTTTGTTTTGTTTTGTTTTGTTTTACAATGCTTTAAAAAAGTACCAAGCCATACTTGGTTCACAGGCTGTACAGAAACATGGTGGGGGTCAGCTTTCACTCCCAGGCCCTCTTCGTAGGTATCTTTCTGCAAGCAACAGCATTCACTGGTTACTATGAGCTCTGTGGTTCTGGGATGGTTGGCCTTGGCTGGGAGGCTTTCACTCTGGGATGCAGTGTTGGGTTTTTGTGTAGCCTTCCTCAGTCATGGAGCCAGAGTGACACATGGAAGGGAGGCTGGTGGTGACCTCCACCTGGGCTCAGCTGGAACACCTGCCAGTGGCCCCTGCGCTTGCCGTGGCCTTGAGGCGTGGAGGCCACATTGCAGGGCTGAGCATCCCAGGAGGAAGCTAGGCAGAGCCATATCTCCTTTTGTAACCCAGCCTCGCAAGTCCAGCCTCAGATTCCTCACTAAGCTTCACATTAAGGGAGGGAACTTTGTTTCCATTTCTTGGTAGAAGTGATTTTAAAGGATTTGCAGATGCATTTAAAGCCCACACCAGGGAAGCTGTTGCAGAGTGTCTGCTGAGGGTTCTGTGGCACCAGCCCATTGACAGGTAAGCCAGGATCACTGTTGGTTGTTGTTAAGGAGTTAGATTGTAAACAAACCAGTAAGAGCAGTCTTGACCGCAAAGAATTTTTTTATCAGCAAAAATATTACTGTACTGACGTTGACAGAGCCTCAGTGTTTGGAAGGTTGAGGAAAACCTCACCAAGCCATTGGAAGTTTGGTATCAGCTTCCCGTGGTCCCTGGAAGAAGCACCCTCATGCTGATGCCCCTCATCAGGAAGGGAACCTCTTCCGCCATAGTGCAGACTCTGACTGGAATCTCCTTGTCACGCAGTCCGCTCAGCGCTGCCTAGATGGAAATTTAGTTTCTTTTTTTTTTAAAGATATATTTATTTATTTGAAAGGCAGAGTTACAGAGAGGCAGAGGCAGAGAGAGAGTGAGGTCTCCTATCTGCTGGTTCACTTCTCAGATGGTCTCAATGGCTGGAGCTGCACTGATCCGAAGCCAGGAGCCAGGAGCTTCTTCCAGGTCTCCCATGCGGGTGCAGGGGCCCAAGGACTTGATCCATCTTCTACTGCTTTCCCAGGCCATACCAGAGAGCTGGATCAGAAGTGGAGCAGCTGGGACTTGAACCAGCACCCATATGGGATGCGGGCACTGCAGGTGGCGGCTTTACCCACTACGCCACAGTGCCGGCCCCCTGGGAATCTAGTTTTTTGCTGTTAGCCCAGCTCCAGCCATCTATCCCAGACTTCTAACTCTGCAGATTCATTTCTCAAGGACATTTTATTCAGTCCAGGTTTTTTTGGATTTCGTATTGACCAAGCCACAGGCAGATAATAGGTACAATCAGAAGGTGACTCGGCTGACCTATTTCAGGATTCAGACGTTTTGGAGACGCTGTGAGAGGCGGTTGCACACTAGTTGCTCTGTTCTGTGTGTCAGTGGCTTTGGTTGTGTGTTTCGAGGTGAGCTGTAGGGTGGGGAGAACGCTAACGGGTTTGTCTGGAAGCCTCGAGGACAGGGCTTTGAATGTTACTTGCCTTTTCCTTCTTCGATTTTCCTTTTTCTTGCTTTCCCCTCCTTTTCGTTTTTATTTTGATTATTATTACTTTGAAATTTACTTGAGAGGAAGAGAGACAGAGGCAGACACAGAGCTTCTGGCCACCGGTTTACTCCTCAAATGTCTGCACGGCCAGGGCCAGGCTGGGGCCAGAGCCAGGAGTCCTGTC